AATTGCAGAAAATTTAGGAAATAATAATTTGTAGAATGTATATAATGAAGGAGACAGAATATCAATACTATTTCTTGCATAATATATTCTTTTTTCCTTATTAGATTCCCAATATCTCCCATCACATCCATCAATCCTATTTCCCAACCTCGTTAGCCACGTGCTTCCTAAAACCAAATCATATTCAGACTTGTCAACAACTAAGAAATGTTCATATGAATTTCCTAAATATGAGGATGGTCCCAAATCGGCCAAAGGCTGGCTCATGTCAAAGATATTGGGTAAAGAAATAGAAATTTCTTCATTATGAAGCCATCCCCCTACCATCACTTTCTTACCAGCATTTGTCACACCAACACCAAGAGCTTCTACTGCTAGATATTTAGATCCATCCATTCTTGTTATATATAAATCCATTTTTCGGGCAAGTGCTTTACTGATACTATTATACTGGGATTTGGGATCAATAAGTGCTTTAACAGTTGTTCTACTATCAATGAATGAGCAGTCCACTATTAATCTTTTGCGAATTTCTCTAATAGCTTTGGTTTTCCATATATCATCTAGACTATAGCAATTTTTAAGATCTTGAATCAGAAGATACTTCGTAATAAATGGTATTAATTCTGGTAGAATAAGATCAAGTAAATTAAGCATGGCAGAGTATTATATTCAATAATGTATTTTTTATCGCTTATTAATAAAAGATAATTCAAAATATATGATGACTGAAGTTAATAACAAGTCTGTTATAAATGAAGCAATGGTTAAAGATAATATCAGCGGAGTTGGGACGACCAATGTTCACCTGTCTCAAGAATTATGTGAAAGTATTGAAACAGTGATCAAGTCTTTTACAAAGTGACAGAATACTATTAATGTGATATCCAGTATTGTTAGTCAAGTATCGGATAAAAAAAATTCAGATTTCTCTTCACCAATTACTGGAGATAGTGAAACCCAAGATTCAGCAAAATATTATAAATGTGATAGCAACCCAGATATTCCTCGGCAACATATTCTATGCAAAGCTAGAAAAAAACCAATTTTTAATGATACCGCATCTGAGTCCTCATCCACATCTAAATCTGGGTCTAGTTCTGAATCATCTAATGATGATGAAGATTTTACTGTGAAAGTGGTGAAAGCAAAGAAGCGTGATTAGTTATCATCATTATAAAGATGGAATGGTCTCGCTTCTTCAGGCTTTTGTCCCCGCTTCCTGTAGTTTACCACAACATAGTTTTGTACTGAAGAAGTATGGTTGTCACAAGAATGCCAAAGTGCTTCCCCAGCAATTGTATAAGCGTGGGCCATATTTTTCACTCCATTTGTCACTACAGCATAAACTGCTCCTAATTTACGTAAATATTTAGGAATTAAATCATAGTCTTTTAAAAATTTATTAAACCATTTAACTCCTGGCTTACCTGGATCACCTATTTGGCCAGAAGATATTGTGCGCTATATCCAAGTGAGTAGTTCTTTGGCTCGTTCTTGATTCTTTTCCATAGATCTAAATTTTCTAGGAATATCTGGCTAACCTCGGTTCTTCACATAACCCATCACTCCAGTATCTGTAATGCATAAAGTTTTAAGTTCAGCAGGACGAATACAAAGCATCACCATAACATCAGCAAGAGCCTGATAATCAGGTAAAGTTTTAATATTGTACGCATTTAATCTTTCTTTGACTGATTCTAATGTAAATTCATCTGGATAATCGATACGTTTAGCTTCAGCTTTTTTCTGATTGATACTCTGGATTTTGTTGGCATCTTCTGTAATATAAGAAATTTTGTAACCTCAATTATCTCAAGTGATGCATTAAGGTTCCTTAATTCTCTATGAAGACGAGTGAAACGTGATAAGCCAGCATTAGCATTTTTTGCTAATAGGGCTAAGGCATAAGCTTCAGCTCTTACATCTCTAATGCTAAGTTTATCCTATAAAATTCGTTGTGCCATATCCCCAATTGTTTTTTCCTCCATTCCTTTAGAAAGTTGATTGGCGATTACAATATTTACGTTTTTATCTGAGGTAGTTACACTGTGTCTACTTTCGTTTTTCGGGATTGTGAATAAGGCATTTACTTGATCTTCACTAAACCCATATCTATTTTGCAAGATTCGTTTTGCTTTCTCTCTGACAATCTCTTCTTCTAAACTTTTTGGAGGCTTGGTTATAGCTATTCTACAATTACCTTCAACCAAATTTATAGTTTTATTTTTTCCACTTCTCTGATTAGGTATCAATACACCCACCTGTTCACTGCTAAATTTAAAACCATTCCGAAGACGTCGTCTAGCCTGATTCCGCTTTCTATCATCAGTAAGGTTTTCAAGAAATTCTGAGGCATATTGGCTAAGTTCAGAGTCACTCATCTTTGGGGTGAGGACGTATTTTTCAACAATTTTTGTTGTAATAGCTGACATGGTCTAATGTTATAGTAGGTTGGGTAGATTATAAACAGTTCTTTAGGTTATATACACCATAAATATTCTTTTTTCAAATCGAAATTAATTACGCTTTTTTCTTCTATAATGTTGCCTCCAAATTCATATACATAAGCAATTTTGAGTGACACAAAAATCTCTTCTGTGATATAATATAGCCGTGTGGACAAATTTTTTCCAATCACGTTTTTTAAGCATCACAAAAACCCCCTTTGTAAGATATATCATAGATCATTATTAAATAGATACATATATTAACAGATATCAAACATATCCTGTCGCAACTGTATATCACAACTGGGAGCAATTTCTAGTTCGTCAGTGAGAGTTTACTATACCCATAATGCATATCCTCACCATTTTCATAGAATTGTCCTTCACCTGTTTGGTATGATGGTAACTTTAGTGCGCTTTCTTTATCGAACATACCTACTAGGTGGTAATGTGTGTGCTTGTTATTTGTACCTTTAAGTTTTGAACTATAAGTTGTATAAAGTGCTGAATTTAATAAACCAAGTTTTGCTCTATCTGATTTTAAGCCAGATTTTTTAGCACTGCGAGATGCGTCTGTATTATCAAAAACCCGAGCCATTCTTGGTACTAAATTTTGGAGGTATTGTATCAATTCGGGTGTATTTAGGCATCTTTTAACATCATCTGCTTTGTATCTGCTTCTATCATCAATATCTCTAATAGGTGTGCAAGTCTTTATTAATTCCAGACAGATTCGATGTTTTTCAGTTCTAGTAACAGTTGTGAACCTATCATTTCTATAATCTTCATGAGTAATTGCCTCAACTCAGTCTTATTATCAATACCTGCATCTCGTAATTTCCGAAGATTTCTAAACCACTTCATTTCATCATATTTACCATAATCCATAATAAATTCTTCGGTCAGAGATTCGGGTGGTATCCCATAACATTCTGCAATATGATACCGGTTTAAAGCATGCATTTCTTTTAAAGTCTTCTTTGGTTTGTTTTCTAGGTGCTCAGCCATCTCATGATTAAGAATATTGGCATTAGCGATATCTGAAATTTCCTCTGCTTTAATAACAGAAGAACATATTTTTACCACTTCAGTTAATGATACAGAATCTTCTTCGGATTTAGGAGTAGCTTCTATTATTGAAACGACCATACCTGCTTTTTTAAGAAAATCTACCATTCTTCATCCAAATAAGCGATGAGATTGGAATTTCTTCAACATATATGCCACCCATAATTGGATAGTTGGGACATCTTTATTTCGAATGATAGACTCTACATTTGAAAATACCCCCTATTCTGGAGTTCCTGAGGAAGACATTCTCGCTTTGCTTTCAATAACCAATTAAATAACCCCTCTTCTGTAATTGGAACATTTGATGATCTTTGCTCAATATAACATATATAATCTTTAACACTTCGCATATGGAATAACATCTGATTAGTCCCAGCATTTGTTTCTATATAACTATTAAAGAGACAGAATGCTCGTTCAAACTTGGGATTGATGCAAGAAATGCCTATTTTTAAAGTGCTAGTATATGCAAGAAGATCCACCTCTTTCCATGCTTCTTCTACATCACTAAAATCACGAGCCTTTTCTACTGGATCGGATTTATCATGATAATTTTTAATATGTAACCCAGGAAAATCAGTCCTAAGAGCACGAACGATTCCTTGCATATCTTTTCTGAGGTGGCAGATGAGTGATGCACTTTTTCGTTTATCGAAAGGTAATGAAGACATCTGCTTTGCCCAATCCCAAAGTTCGGTTAATACAGTTTCTTTATTAGATGCTAAGCGGAATGTTTTACTTTTCTGGGGTTGGTAAGTGTTGTGGATAACTGAGAAGGGTTTATTTTTACGAAGGCTTTTAATCCATTTTATATTAAGGTCAGTAAGGTCATTATCCATAACAATAATACGCCTCGCTTCATGAATTAACTTATATAAATGCTCTCTTAATCGACCTGCTAAGCGAGTGTGGGCTTGACTAATCACAGATACTACCTCATCTAGCCATAAATCATATGGTATTGGAGGACACTCATATTTTTTCTCGCATTTATATTTATTGGTAATGAGATGCAGACTTTCTATTTGACATACTACTCTTTGATGATCTGGGAGGTTTATATCTTTAGTATCAATATCATAGTATGATTTGAGATTCAGCCTTGTAGTGACAGCACTAGAATAAGTATGTCGTGTAGATAAAGCAAGCAAATTTATACTTTCGTGAATAGTAAGGTGTTCTAAGGTATGAGTTTTTCCTGTTCCCCAAGGTGAGCCTACATATACATCCCCTTCATTAGGTAAAGGTTCCACATATTGCTCTTTATAAACTTCTGTTGCAATAAGAAGAGAATCGCAATTAACCCAAGCTGGCATTTCTAAGAAAGGCCATGGAAATTTTGGACCCTTCATCTTAGTATAACCAGTGGTGGAATATTATTTTTATTTTTCTGTTGGATTTTTTCTGCAATAGATGGGTCATTGAAAATTACCTCTCGTTTATCTCTACTTTGTTGAAAACATTTCACAATGAATGATCCATATCCATATATACAACCATACTACTGCTGATCTTTGTCATGTATGCGTTTACAAATTGGACATTCTAGACATGCTTTTCGGCTAAAGTATACGAAATATTAAGAATTTTTTTCTTCAATATTCCAGCTTCTGAGATAATCAGAATATTCCTGCAGAACTTGATTCGCGTATTTTTTTAATGAATCGTGTCCCACTATTATTTTCTTCTGATCATTTATTTTTTCTGCACTAAGTATGCAAGGTCTTACTTCGAATCCTGCACTATCAGGTGGTTGTACTCTTGCATGATCGAGTTCATCCCATCCATTATCTAGTGAGAATTGGAGTATACGCTTTATACGATCTTTTTTTGCTGATCCAATAAGACAGAGATTAAAGTTTCGCCCAGGTAATCCTCGATCAATAAACTTACCATATTTTTCTCCCGTTAATTTATGTACCAGTTCTGTAAATTGTTTGAGTTCCTGATAATCAATAAGGAGAACTGGTGCATACAGGAGATGGTAACTGCATTTACTGAAATCGAAAGATGTGGCAATTACTAATCCTTCGAAAATCTCTTCCCAGCTACAATTAAGAATCATATATAATGCTCTTATGTATGAACAACAAATATGAATAAATACATCCCTTGCATTAACTTTTTCAGATTCCATATTTTCTTGTGATGCATCAATATCAATTACAGCCCTTAGTGGTCATTGCCCATTAATACATTCATGTATTCCAGATAAACTATATACTTCTGAAATATCATCTACAACTGAGTATTTGTAATAATCCTCTTGCTCTACTTGAATGACTAATCTATCAACCAATTCTTCCCATGTGTACGCATCGAGCAGACTGATTCCTTCTTTTGCTCTATAATTAGGTAAGAGATAGTCCCATAAATATACATCTTCCAATGAGCCTTTAATGTTTGACATATCTCTAGCAGGTGAGGAGGCAATTTCGCAGATTTTATTTAGTAAGTCTTTTTTTGTAAATTTATCATTGAATTTTTCCTGCCGTAAAATATATGTCTTATTGAATTTTTGTTCTTCTACTTTAGGGGGTTGGGATAACGGAGACTTAATAGTACTGGTCTCAATATCTGGCTCATAGTCGGAACCATAATCACTGCAATTTTCTGATTCACATTCAGATATATTATCACTATAGACATCTGAGTCACTTGAATAATCATCGGTTTCCCTGCCCCTGTACTGCTCGAGTTGTGTGCTTTGTGTGCTCATTTTTTGTATTGATATTTTCTTTAGCTATAATAGTATTGGTGGTATATTATTCGCAAAGAAAAAGTTTAAAATGAAAATTAATTCCAGAGTATAATTATCAATATCTTTATCGACTAGTATATAGCTATGGCATTTTATCGTTTTCCCTATATTCTTAGGACTGAAGAAGTTTGCAATCGAGGTTGCTATCGGCCTGAAGGGTGTAAAGTTCATTGGGATTCTCCTGCACGTGTACCCTGCAAAGAGTGTGGTAAATTGACATTATCTACTTATGACTTTTGTGATATATATGCTAAAAAATATCGAGCAAGATCGGGGTATCATAGGAAAAAGCTAAAGAAACTAGGCCAGGTACAGATGTAGGTTCAAAGAACCATGATTCAGAGAATCGCCTATGGCCTGCTCTGCAATAGTAAGTGATAGCAAAAAATATGTGATCGAGTATTTAACTTCAGAAATATATTATATAAATTATGGAAGAAGAATACCCATTTCATGATATGTTTCCAAGTATATTTTTAGATATGTAATCAGGGTATTTAACTTCAGAAATATTATATATAAAAAATGGAAGAAGAATACCCTTTTAATGATATGGTTTCGGGTATGTTTTTGGTATATGTTCGGGTGGTGTAATCTGCGGATTTATTATGCGAAAAATGGGCAAGGCCTTATATATAAAAAATGGAAAAACACACTACCTTAGCATATATATCGGGTATGTTTTTGGTATGTCGTCAAGGGTATTTAACTTTGGAAATATTATATAATAATTATGGAAGAAGAATGCATCAAGTTTTAGTGAGATGAATGAAGAGGATTGCGATCTCGATTAGTGAATACTTTGGGTATATAAGTTTGGTAATATATTATAAGAATTATAGAAGTTATATACCCAGTTGATAGTATGTGCTCGGGGTATATAAGTTCAGTAATATTATATAAGAAAAATGGGAGTTATATACCATGTTTCAATATATGTTTTCGGATGTATAACTTCAGTAATATTATATAATAATTATGGGAGTTATATACCTGCCTTCCTATATAGTTAACCCACTTTTTTACTATGTATGTTCTTAGGACATATTTCTGGTATCAAAAATTATGGCAATCAAAATCGGTATACTTTAATATAATGTACTAAGGTCACGAATACTATTTCGGCACTATGTGCTTCAACTCTGGCCCTAATCGAGGAATTAACCAGAAAGCTAAGGCACTACATGCCAGGTTCGGGCATAGTCCTCACATCGGGCCCACAAATGACGATATATGACTGGATGCATTGTCAGATATATTTTTTACTCATGTAGTCTAATGGCAGAAATCGATCATGATTACCAAACCAGTATACAAATAATGTTATTGAATTTGGGTTATAATAAAAAATGCAGAAAGACACTAATGACGGTGTCGTATTTCTGTCGTCATGACACATGCGGGATAACGACACAAACACAAATCTGTCATCACATTTTTGTGGGTCATGAGTATTCAAGTGTGACGATGAATTCGTAAACCAATCGTCACTTGAATGATGACGCAAGCGTGAATCATTCGTCACTCGAATGATGGAGCGAATACTAATACATCTCTGATGACGGTGATGCATTTCTATCGTCACAACACTGAAGACAGTATGCATTTCTGTTGTCATACCTGAGTGGAAATAACTTAGACTAAGTGGAAATAACATAATTATGTTATTTCCACTAACAATATCTATAACCTTATCAGAAAAACTAACTCTAACCAAACCTGGCTTTGACAGTACTTCTAATTGAGCATGCAGATTATCTGAGACAATGAGCTAGTAAGTACATTAGGTCAACAGAAGGAAATGTTGATATTATATAATTGATTATACACATAGTGTGAAACTTGTAAAAAAATTTTTTTACAATACTTGCACAATCTTGATTATTCAGCTAGTAGATGTTATAATTATAATCTAACACCAATTTTTATTATAATAAAAATAGTATTAAATTATAATCATAAAATTCATTAGCTGACTGATCAAGATTGTTCAAGTATTATAAAAAAATTTTTTTATAAGTTTCACATTATGTATAAAATTAATTATATAACATCAACATTCTCTTCTGCTTATTAAGTTAGGTACAATGTACAGGAGTGATAACAACTAAGTAAATCAAAACTATATGAACAAACTATAAAATTGGTATTGTTAGTAGCAAATCTGTACCTTCCAATCTTGAAGAATTGCCTAAAATAAATGAACAGTAAAGCCTCAAATTAATGCTGCATAAAATCATAAACATAAATGCTAAGCCTCCAAAACAATTATTATTGACAGTTCAAAATAATAAAGTAATTTGCATTAGCCTAATTGATGAAAGTAAAGACTAAAATAAGTCAATGAGTTAATATTGTCTTGTTGGATAAGGCTTTTGGCTATGTAAGTGCATATTTAATTGATTGAATAGATAAGAATGTTGGTTGAAAAATAAAAAGAAAGCATTAAATAAGTAAGAAGTGAAAACTGTAAAAATGTAAGGAATAAAGTGTTAAATTAAAAAGAAATAAATTAGTTTTGGTTCTATATTAAAATAGTAAAGGAATAATATAGAAGTGTTTTTGGATATTAAATGTTGTTAGAGAACTAGAACCTTTGAAGATAAAAAATTGTTAAAAGAGAAAAAAAGGTTTGAAGTAATGGAAAAAAATATGTTAGAATAATAGTGAATGTTTTAAAAATGTTCTTCTTACTTTTTTGTAAAATTTTTATAAAAAAGAATCATTTTCACTTAAACAAAGTGTATGTCTTCTCTGCCCTATAAAAAAGTAATAAAATTAATAAATAAAGACTTTTAAAAATTTCAATTCAAAAAAAAAATAAATTCACAAAGTAGAACACTTTTTCAAAACCTCATCACTTACCTCATCCTAATTTTCTTAATAATGCTTCTTAATTGTCATCTTAGATTAGTGTCAAATCTTTTTGCTTTTAAGACATTAAGGAATATTATACACATTTCTCATTTGATAACAACAATTTGTTGTATTTCTTTGTTGTTGTGTGTATATATTCAACCGATTCATCAGTAACAATATATTATAGATTTTTATATTATATAAGTGAATATTAATTTAATGTTAAGATTAATTGTATACTATTGCTATATATATATTTACTAAAATTAATTATTTGAAAACAATGCAACTTATTGATATACCAAAAAATTATCTTGAAACTTTCTCAAATAACTTATTGCTTTCAGATTTTCTATTAATATATAAATTTAAAAATTCTTATAAATAAATCAAATTAAAGACACAAATTATTAACTCTTTCTAATGATCACTTGTATCAAATTTTCTCTAAACATAATTATATTTTTCTAAATTTTTATTAAGTAAACCTACTTTGGCTGCCTAAGTAAAATTGTTCCTAACAAAATTTTACATATAGGCAGTCTAGTTTTATATCTTCATAGGCATTTACTACTGAATTTTTAAAATTGCTCCAAAAAATACCTATTTTAATTACTCTTAGAAACCAGATTCCTATAATATTGACTACTATTATTCTAAATATAAAGGTAGATATGAAGTTGGACTCCAAGAAAATATATCTCAAGTATTATATAGCCTACTAGTTTCTGTTAAACCTGACATCTGTAATAAGAAAAAATAACATTACTACTTTAAAATCTCTTTTTAATCTATTATTACAACCTGTCTTTATGTTAAGTTTCATATAAGCTTTATCTCTAAACACTACAAAATTAGTCATCCAACAACAATTAGTTAACCTCTAAATCAAACTCAAACTCAGATTAGAACTACTATCTCTGCACAAAGTTTCAAATTATCAGATAAATTACTTGCCTTTCCAATTTTTAAATTAACAGACCAAACTCAATTTTTACTCTTCTTCTTTATATATTTCTTTTTCCAAATTTTCAAACAAACACAGCTCCTACAGTCATAATTGCTTACTCTTAATATTATCATATCTGTTTTCTTTGCAAAATCAAAAATATTCAATGTGTCTTCACAAATAACCAACATAATTATACACTAAACTCTATAATAATATGCATCTTTAAAGGCTCTTTAATTTATTAATCTTGTATACCAAAAATCCAAAATATTGAACAAAACCTTTTTACTTAACCCTATTAAATTCAGATTACAAAAAAATTGTTATTCTCTATAGACTTAGTACCATGTCAGCAAAAGACAAAATCCAACTTTATAACTCAATTATTTCTAAAAAACCTAGCTCTCAACAATTTACAAAATAACAAAAACAAAAACAAAAACAAATTATTAAAGATACTTTTAATGATTTTGATTGGTTTAAAGAATACCTAATAACTAGCAAAATAAAACATTATATCCATTTTGACAACAAGCTAGCTTCACAAATTCTTAGCTTTATCAAACCATACTCATTAATGTATATCCTGATAAAATTACTGAACAAGTAACTAAAGACAAACCAGATCCAAGTTTAACTATATGTACTTAGTTAAAACTTTAGCTAGACTCCAGCCTAAGTTTTTAACAGATTTTATATATAAAAACAATCCATCTATAAACAAATCTTTCTTTATTCTATTTGAATTGATTCACTCAACTCTTATTACACTACTTAAGGAATTTACTACTACACTTTTTATACATCTTAACAATCCAAAAATTTTTGCTTCATACAGTTCAATTCCACCTTATACTACTTTTAACAGAATACAAATTGCACTTAATCTAGCCTGTCTATATTTTATTCTTTATAACAAATATAAAACCATTAATGCAAAAAAATTCAATAAAGATTTTAAACTTCATTTTATCTACTTTAGACTCTACTATAATATTAGTAAAGATAGTGTTAACCAACCTTTCTTTAAAATACAAAATGATGATAAATTTAACATTAATATTTTCCTTAATATATCTAAACAACATTTTCTTCAAATATTCCAAATCCCTTTTCTTAACAACTATCTAACAGAATTTAAATTATG